TAATGTATGCTGTCTGAAATCCACCGTAAGCGTGAACAATCAATTAAGACCCGAAATGGTTTATCAAATCCTTCCAATGATTGCTAAGCCAGAATCCATCTTCTCGGTTGAAATTGTCTCTGTGTTCGTATATGTAGATAGCCTCATGAACGAATCTCTAATGGTAGCCAGATGGCTTGCAAAGAACCTCTGTCTTGGAGAAGTCAATGTCATGTGAGCCTACTGAATTATAACAGTGATCTGCCACGGCCGAGGTGTTGGTCCTACGTGTTTAAGGTCTGCTTTGTGTTCACAAATGCGGTCCGAGACATGTCGTTTGGTTTCTTCAATGTAACTACTACCACAGAGGCAACTTAGTTTGTAGACACCAGGGTACTGTATGTCCGGAATCACATATTTTACAGACGGAACCAGATCACAGATTTTATGTAATGTGTTGAAACGGACCTGGATCTTGTGTTTATTCAAGATTTTGGAGATCTTTTTTGTGATCCCCGCAATGTAGGGTAAAGTGATGGTTTTTAAAGGCTCCTCAAGAGGGTCCTTCTTCATGGTTTGAGTGATAGCTTTGTGGATTGTATAGTCGGAGTAACCATTAGCCTTAAGAGCTTGGTGTACGTGCTTGAGTTCACTGCCTATGTGTTCCTGGTCGGATATGCATTGGGCTCTATGGTGCAGAGTCTTGATGAGAGAATTCTTCTGTGATGGATGGTGGTGGGAATCCGGTTTCAGATAAGCATCCGTATGGGTAGCTTTCCTGAAGACAGAGTGGCTCATTGAATCATCAGGTCTCTTTTTTATTAGGACATCCAAGAAAGGTAGCTTGCCATCTTTTTCGACTTCTATGGTAAATCTGATGGCTGGGTGTATGGAATTGATGTGATCGAAGAATTGGTCTAGAGCAGGCCGGCCATGTGGCCAGATGACAAAAGTGTCATCCACGTACCTCTTCCATAAGGTTGGGCGCAGAGTGGCAGTCTGGATGGCGTCAGTCTCAAATTTCTCCATGAAAATGTTGGCTATAACCGGAGATAGGGGGGAGCCCTTTGGGGTGCCCTCAGTTTGTTTGTAGAAAGTTCCAATCCAAGTGAAGTATGTATTGGTTAAGCAGTGTCTCACCAGGGGGGTACCTCAGTGTTTAGTCCTGGATGAACCAAGTCTTCAATGATTGCGATGGTGTCAGGTACAGGAACTTTGGTGAATAAGGAAACTACATCAAAACTGACAAGCAGGTCGTCTGGGGACAGGGAAATACCCTTGATTGTCGATACCAGGTGAGTAGAATTTTGTACCGCAGAGGTGGTTTTTCCCGTGAAAGGCCACAGGATTTCAGACAGAAAACGAGCCAGTTTGTGGGTGGGGGAGTTGATAGTAGAGACGATGGGATGAAGGGGTGTATCTACTTTATGTATTTTTGGTAAGCAGTATAATCTTGGTGGCCTGGCAGCAGAAGGTTTCAACGGAAACTGTTTAGTTTGATCAATTAATGCGGTTGAATCAGAAATTATTTTGTTGGTTTGTGTGACGAGGCTGTTGGTGGGATCTCTTTTTATTTTTGTAGAGCTGCCATCGTCGAGTAATTCTTTAATTTTGTTGTTATTTTCTATTTTATCCATGATTACAGGAGCATTGTCCTTGTCGGCTGAGAGGATTACAATGTCATCCCTCTTGTTTAATTTCTATAATTCAAAACGCTCATCTTTGCTGAGGTTGCTAGCTGGCATCTTAGCAAGCTACCTTTTTTGGATGTCCTAATAAAAAAGAGACCTGATGGTTCAATGAGCCACTCTGTCTTCAAGAAAGCTACCCATACGGATGCTTATCTGAAACCGGATTCCCACCACCATCCATCACAGAAGAATTCTCTCATCAAGACTCTGCACCATAGAGCCCAATGCATATCCGACCAGGAACACATAGGCAGTGAACTCAAGCACGTACACCAAGCTCTTAAGGCTAATGGTTACTCCGACTATACAATCCGCAAAGCTATCACTCAAACCATGAAGAAGGACCCTCTTGAGGAGCCTTTAAAAACCATCACTTTACCCTACATTTCGGGGATCACAAAAAAGATCTCCAAAATCTTGAATAAACACAAGATCCAGGTCCGTTTCAACACATTACATAAAATCTGTGATCTGGTTCCGTCTGTAAAATATGTGATTCCGGACATACAGTACCCTGGTGTCTACAAACTAAGTTGCCTCTGTGGTAGTAGTTACATTGAAGAAACTAAACGACATGTCTCGGACAGCATTTGTGAACACAAAGCAGACCTTAAACACGTAGGACCAACACCTCGGCCGTGGCAGATCACTGTTATAATTCAGTAGGCTCACATGACATTGACTTCTCCAAGACAGAGGTTCTTTGCAAGCCATCTGGCTACCATTAGAGATTCGTTCATGAGGCTATCTACATATACGAACACAGAGACAATTTCAACCGAGAAGATGGATTCTGGCTTAGCAATCATTGGAAGGATTTGATAAACCATTTCGGGTCTTAATTGATTGTTCACGCTTACGGTGGATTTCAGACAGCATACATTAATTTTTCGTCTCCCCCCTCCTCTTTTCCGAACATAGATGAACTCGTCCATCTAAACAAACTGTCAAATCGCTATCCGTGGTGCTAACGTTTAAAAATAAATAAATACAAACCGCCACTTCTTTCAAATGTTCTTGCCGTTGGTTTTGACACCTGATGATGACTGTTTGTGTTACAGTCGAAACGTCGTGAGAATTTTATTGTTTGATATATATTTTATTATTTTATTATTTCCCTTCAACGTGACTTTACCGAAAGAACCAAGAATATGAATCACTGCAGTCACGAAAACTTTAAATCAAAATTTAACTACACCTTGATAACTCAATTTGATCACGAGCGGCTGGACACACGAATTCAAACCCAGGTTCTGAGCCGTCTCAGCCCGACGTTCTGATGAGCGACACGGTCTCCATCTGTACAAGGAGAATCCCAACCAAGTCTACTTGATGCGTTTTATTTTTCCACCTTGTGTGTGTGCGACTACAGCTGACCTTACAACATGAGCCCCGATGGCCTTTCATCTTTACTTCATTGCGTCAATGAAAGGAACATTGATCAAACATGCTGATATGGTGACCTTTCGAGTTTTTTCTTCATTTTCCAAAGCAATTAACAAGCATGGGCGTGTGTATGCAGGTGTGTCGTAAGTGGCGTGGAACCAGCCACCCACCCCCTCGTGTGCGGTGCGAGCTTTCTTCATAGGTGCTGCTCGCTAGCAGCACTTGCCCCGAAGAGTCTGTTAAGGCTACACGGGGGGGATCTTTGTCTACTATAAGTGGGTGGAGAGCGATAGTGCAGCGGTTAGTGTGCTCCCACTCGCGGCCAACACCAGTGACGAATATCTGAACCGGTCCTGGGCTTCGCCTAGGTCCACTCAGCCTCAAATGATTACCTGGCTTGGTGTGTAAGCATCGCCACTGTGGAGACAAAGGCGGTCGAGCGTGGTGCTGGCCGCCCGCCCCTTCGAATAACGCGCAGGCCTCCCCACAAGGTGCCGTAACCTCTAACGATCTCACGATGTAATCGCTCCATCTCCCTCTTTGACGCGTCCTCCCGGGCACGTCAAAGATGCAGATTGGATTGGTGCACAATAAACACCGTGCCGATTGCTTGGCACCTGACCCTGGCATTGATTTCCCCCATGCTGGTTCAGTTTAAATTAAGTGCCTCGTGCGATTGTGTGTCAGCTGAGCAGATACGGAATAGTCCACGGAACCAAAGCCTTCGGCCACCAAGTGAAGACCCCCTTCCAATTGGTTCCCTGGTGCGCTTTCGGGTCGTGCCACGTGCTGCACATTCATTCGATTGCCGAAAGAAGCTCCCGCGACGCGTGGAGCGAAACGTCGGACATCGTGCCGAACAACAACAACAACAACGACGACGACAGCGGTCCAGCCGGGAGAACAACGATTAGTACGGTGGTGCGAAAGAAGTTCAACAGACATACATACAATACAGCACGTCGGAGTAGCTGTCCAGGCACACACCACACCATAGTGCTCAGTTTCACAGCAGCAGCAGCAGCAGCCCCCTTTTGTTCTCATCATTTGACGTTTCGGCGGCCGTCGCCGTCGCTCGGAGGCGACCGTGGCTCGTTGTGACCGGCCTTGGGTGCTTTTCTCTCAAAACCACACTCCAGCAATGCGAGCCGCGGCAATCACCCTATTTCATTCGGCCAATTTGCAGCGGCAGTCGCAGCAGCAGCGGCAGCGCCTTGGGAAGCGCAGCGTTAGAAGGCAGCAGAGCGTGTTGCTCCCCCTTCTAGCAGGGGGTGGGGGGGGGGGTGGTGGGGGGAGGGAGGTCCTGGAGCCCATCTGGATATCTGTGAAGAAAAGAGCTTTATCGCTCATCGGATTCGTCCGGTACAAATGCACAAATGTTTACGATTCTCATGTCTGAGCGCGTCGGGGATTGGAAGCTCGCTCCGAGAGGGGAGCGGAGCCGCTGCACACGCCCAGCCTCTAGGCACCCCCTCCCCCCTCACCACCCCTCACCCCCCCTCACCACTCCTCACCACCCCTCACCCCCCCACCCCTCCCCCCCTTACCCCCCTCACCCCTCACCACCCCTCACCCCCCCTCACCACCCCTCACCCCCCCTCACCACCCCTCACCACCCCTCCCCCCTCACCCCTCACCCCTCCCCCCTTAGCCCCCTCACCCCCCCTCACCCCCCCCACCCCCTCACCCCCCCTTACCCCCCCCTCACCCGCCCTCCCCCCCACCCCTCACCCCCTCACCCCCCCTCACCCCCCCCCACCCCCCTCACCCCCCCTCCTCCATCACCCCCTCTCCCCCCCACCCCTCACCCCCCCCACCCCCCGGGGCGTTAGGCAGCGGCGAGAAATCGGCAGATGGTGCCGCGTGCGTTGCAGGGCCCGTCGTGAGCCGAGGGGACTTGAGAGACCACAACGTGCGTGAGCGCACCGAGAGATGTCCCGTGCGTTAGTCTTTACCCGCGTCACGCTGAGCTACAGGGTCACTCTAAACCAGCGGGGGGGGGGTCACACAACCACAATCACAAGAAGAGACTTTTTGTCGGATTCGGTGGAAAAAACACAACACATTTCAAGAGCCACATTGTAATGTGAATGACGTAATTGAGCAGTCCCTTCAAGAGCCACATTGTAATGTGAATGACGTAATTGAGCAGTCCCTTCAAGAGCCACATTGTAATGTGAATGATGTAATTGAGCAGTCCCTTCAAGAGCCACATTGTAATGTGAATGACGTAATTGAGCAGTCCCTTCAAGAGCCACATTGTAATGTGAATGACGTAATTGAGCAGTCCCTTCAAGAGCCACATTGTAATGTGAATGACGTAATTGAGCAGTCCCTTCAAGAGCCACATTGTAATGTGAATGATGTAATTGAGCAGTCCCTTCAAGAGCCACATTGTAATGTGAATGACGTAATTGAGCAGTCCCTTCAAGAGCCACATTGTAATGTGAATGACGTAATTGAGCAGTCCCTTCAAGAGCCACATTGTAATGTGAATGACGTAATTGAGCAGTCCCTTCAAGAGCCGCACTGCAATGTGAATGACGTAATTGAGCAGTCCCTTCAAGAGCCACATTGTAATGTGAATGACGTAATTGAGCAGTCCCTTCAAGAGCCACGTTGTAATGTGAATGACGTAATTGAGCAGTCCCTTCAAGAGCCACATTGTAATGTGAATGACGCAATTGAGCAGTCCCTTCAAGAGCCACATTGTAATGTGAATGACGTAATTGAGCAGTCCCTTCAAGAGCCGCACTGCAATGTGAATGACGTAATTGAGCAGTTCCTTCAAGAGCCACATTGTAATGTGAATGACGTAATTGAGCAGTCCCTTCAAGAGCCGCACTGCAATGTGAATGACGTAATTGAGCAGTCCCTTCAAGAGCCACATTGTAATGTGAATGACGTAATTGAGCAGTCCCTTCAAGAGCCGCACTGCAATGTGAATGACGTAGTTGAGCAGTCCCTTCAAGAGCCGCACTGCAATGTGAATGACGTAATTGAGCAGTCCCTTCAAGAGCCGCATTGCAATGTGAATGACGTAATTGAGCAGTCCCTTCAAGAGCCACATTGTAATGTGAATGACGTAATTGAGCAGTCCCTTCAAGAGCCGCACTGCAATGTGAATGACGTAATTGAGCAGTTCCTTCAAGAGCCACATTGTAATGTGAATGACGTAATTGAGCAGTCCCTTCAAGAGCCGCACTGCAATGTGAATGACGTAATTGAGCAGTCCCTTCAAGAGCCACATTGTAATGTGAATGACGTAATTGAGCAGTCCCTTCAAGAGCCGCACTGCAATGTGAATGACGTAGTTGAGCAGTCCCTTCAAGAGCCGCACTGCAATGTGAATGACGTAATTGAGCAGTTCCTTCAAGAGCCACATTGTAATGTGAATGACGTAATTGAGCAGTCCCTTCAAGAGCCGCACTGCAATGTGAATGACGTAATTGAGCAGTCCCTTCAAGAGCCACATTGTAATGTGAATGACGTAATTGAGCAGTCCCTTCAAGAGCCGCATTGCAATGTGAATGCCGTAGTTGAGCAGTCCCTTCAAGAGCCGCATTGCAATGTGAATGACGTATTTGAGCAGTCCCTTGAAGAGCCACATTGTAATGTGAATGACGTAATTGAGCAGTCCCTTCAAGAGCCGCATTGCAATGTGAATGATGTAATTGAGCAGTCCCTTCAAGAGCCACATTGTAATGTGAATGACGTAATTGAGCAGTCCCTTCAAGAGCCACATTGTAATGTGAATGATGTAATTGAGCAGTCCCTTCAAGAGCCACATTGTAATGTGAATGACGTAATTGAGCAGTCCCTTCAAGAGCCACATTGTAATGTGAATGATGTAATTGAGCAGTCCCTTCAAGAGCCACATTGTAATGTGAATGACGTAATTGAGCAGTCCCTTCAAGAGCCACATTGTAATGTGAATGACGTAATTGAGCAGTCCCTTCAAGAGCCACATTGTAATGTGAATGACGTAATTGAGCAGTCCCTTCAAGAGCCGCACTGCAATGTGAATGACGTAATTGAGCAGTCCCTTCAAGAGCCACATTGTAATGTGAATGACGTAATTGAGCAGTCCCTTCAAGAGCCACATTGTAATGTGAATGACGTAATTGAGCAGTCCCTTCAAGAGCCACATTGTAATGTGAATGACGCAATTGAGCAGTCCCTTCAAGAGCCACATTGTAATGTGAATGACGTAATTGAGCAGTCCCTTCAAGAGCCGCACTGCAATGTGAATGACGTAATTGAGCAGTTCCTTCAAGAGCCACATTGTAATGTGAATGACGTAATTGAGCAGTCCCTTCAAGAGCCGCACTGCAATGTGAATGACGTAATTGAGCAGTCCCTTCAAGAGCCACGTTGTAATGTGAATGACGTAATTGAGCAGTCCCTTCAAGAGCCGCACTGCAATGTGAATGACGTAGTTGAGCAGTCCCTTCAAGAGCCGCATTGCAATGTGAATGACGTAATTGAGCAGTCCCTTCAAGAGCCGCATTGCAATGTGAATGACGTAATTGAGCAGTCCCTTCAAGAGCCACATTGTAATGTGAATGACGTAATTGAGCAGTCCCTTCAAGAGCCGCACTGCAATGTGAATGACGTAATTGAGCAGTTCCTTCAAGAGCCACATTGTAATGTGAATGACGTAATTGAGCAGTCCCTTCAAGAGCCGCACTGCAATGTGAATGACGTAATTGAGCAGTCCCTTCAAGAGCCACATTGTAATGTGAATGACGTAATTGAGCAGTCCCTTCAAGAGCCGCACTGCAATGTGAATGACGTAGTTGAGCAGTCCCTTCAAGAGCCGCACTGCAATGTGAATGACGTAATTGAGCAGTTCCTTCAAGAGCCACATTGTAATGTGAATGACGTAATTGAGCAGTCCCTTCAAGAGCCGCACTGCAATGTGAATGACGTAATTGAGCAGTCCCTTCAAGAGCCACATTGTAATGTGAATGACGTAATTGAGCAGTCCCTTCAAGAGCCGCATTGCAATGTGAATGCCGTAGTTGAGCAGTCCCTTCAAGAGCCGCATTGCAATGTGAATGACGTATTTGAGCAGTCCCTTGAAGAGCCACATTGTAATGTGAATGACGTAATTGAGCAGTCCCTTCAAGAGCCGCATTGCAATGTGAATGACGTAATTGAGCAGTCCCTTCAAGAGCCGCATTGCAATGTGAATGACGTATTTGAGCAGTCCCTTCAAGAGCCGCATTGCAATGTGAATGACGTATTTGAGCAGTCCCTTCAAGAGCCGCATTGCAATGTGAATGACGTATTTGAGCAGTCCCTTGAAGAGCCACATTGTAATGTGAATGACGTAATTGAGCAGTCCCTTCAAGAGCCGCATTGCAATGTGAATGACGTAATTGAGCAGTCCCTTCAAGAGCCGCATTGCAATGTGAATGACGTATTTGAGCAGTCCCTTCAAGAGCCGCATTGCAATGTGAATGACGTATTTGAGCAGTCCCTTCAAGAGCCGCATTGCAATGTGAATGACGTAATTGAGCAGTACCTTCAAGAGCCGCATTGCAATGTGAATGACGTAATTGAGCAGTCCCTTCAAGAGCCGCATTGCAATGTGAATGGCGTAATTGAGCAGTCTCTTCAAGAGCCGCATTGCAATGTGAATGACGTAATTGAGCAGTCTCTTCAAGAGCCGCATTGCAATGTGAATGACGTAATTGAGCAGTCCCTTCAAGAGCCGCATTGCAATGTGAATGACGTAATTGAGCAGTCCCTTCAAGAGCCGCATTGTAATGTGAATGACGTAATTGAGCAGTCCCTTCAAGAGCAGCATGCGGCTTCGGAGCCGGACGTTGCCGGTTCCTCTTCTAAACTAAACTACAATATATAATTTTTAATTATGTGTAGTGTCAACGATTCAGAGACAGGGTTTCCAGGAGGCACTTTCTTCATTAACAACTTTCACGGTCTCGTCCGCACACACTCCACAGTCGCTTAGCCCGGCCTGTACACGACGCGAGACGTCTTACACTGACGGCGCTGACTCAGAGAGCCAACTGCTCTCCTTCGTAGCGCGATATCTAGCGGAGACGTTTAGCGACGACGGCGACGACGAGACGAGTCCACTCCCAGAGCCGCCAGCCTCCCAGCGCGATGACACTACACATAGGTCAAGCGCGCTGAGCTATGTGAACTTTGTCAGACGCGACCTGGTAACAAAATCGTAGCTTAGCCAAAGCGGCTCATCATCGTCTCGTGGAATTTCATAGCAGCAGCAGCCAACTATTCTAAACGAGTGATGATGTTCTTTCTATTATGCGACCACGGGAAGAGAGAGAGAGACCGCAAACTCCAAATATACAGCAGCAGGCGTCAGGGTCGGGAAAGAACCCACGACCTCGTGCATACCAGGCGAGGCAATTAACATCTCGCCACCTTGGCGAGATCAATATGAATTCGATCACTGATAAAATGCCATGTTTTAGCTGCTTAAAAATTTGATCGTGTACACTGTAGGGTTGGGTGTTATTGTGAAGCTAAAAAAAACAGCTCCGGTTCAAATGTATTCGATCGGGATTTCTAGTAATTGGTCAAAGTCTATTGTTCGCTCCGTTAATGTGATAAGGGGGTGAGGTTTGATTCTCCCCCACCTCCCATCGCCCCCCCCACCTCCCATCGCCCCCCCCCACCACCTCACCCCCACACAGAGATCACAAGGCACCACTTCTAGTCAATGCGGCGTTAGGAAGGCGTTTGAGTATCTGGTGCGGTGCGTAAAAACATCGCCACTAGGGAGACAAAGGCGGTCGGGCTTGGTGCTGGCCACCCACCCCCTCGTGTGCCGTTCTGGCCTTCATAGATGCTCGCTAACAGCACTTGCCCCAACAGCCTGTTAAGGCTATACGGGGGATCTTTGTCTTTTGGTTTCTTGTACCAATCAGGGGCATAGAGTTTCAATTGATTACCGCTAGATGCCTCTCCCAGCGCACAAACAACTCCTAGCCTCAGTCATTCGCAAGACGGTGACCCCGCAGCAAGACTGAATCCGTAATTGCGGTGCAGCGTGCGTTTCAACGGCGTTTTGGCATTGATCCGCCAATGTCAAAGAGCATTCATCGTTGGTACCGACAATTTGAAGAAACGGGCTGCTGTTGATGTAAGGGGAAGAGCACAGGGCGACCACGCACCTCAGAGGGAAACGTGAGAAGAGACGCGTTTGGGACGAATTCAACTATCGTCTCGATGTTGTCCGTACAGCAGGTGGAGGGCACATATTGCATTTATAAAATGGTTAGTAAAACTTGAAAACTCATTAAACCGTTTGTAATTTTTGTGTAATTGTAACATTTTGACATCGTGAAATATACTGCTTTGAAATTGGGTCCATCTCTTTTGAACACTCTGTATTACGTTTTCGACGGCAAGGATTCCACATTCCGTCTTTGGACCAATTTGCCGAGCGCATTTTTTGCAATATTCAAAAAGCGTCCAGCAAACGCGAGAGACGCCCCTCCTCTCTCTCTCTCTGTGGATGGATCGTGTTCATAACGCGTGGACGCAGAGGCGCAAGGTGAAAGTTCCGACGGAGAGCTAAATAAATATCATTTTATTAGCTCAGTCGGCAAGGCGCAGTTTATTTACATGGCTAATTTCACATCGCCTAGAAAGAACAGAGAAAAGCATTAACACAAAATATTGCACGCAATAACATACATTTATATCACAGTGCTATTTCTCCACTTTCCCGATGTTCCCGCTTTATTAAAGGCATGTAACACACTTCTCTCGGAAAAAAAGGGAATGCAGGCTCGCCGAAGCTTGCAGGCAAGTCATTAAGGTCACAGACACGAGCGATAAATATTCCCTTTGTGCTCCGTCTCCGTGGAATGCAGGAGAGAGAGAAAGAGAGGAAAGGCCAATTGCAGGCATTTCAGATCGCATCCCTGTTTA